TACTTTGCACTGCAATTTAGCAAATCGATTTGTTTTTCCCGGCCACCGCCACCGCCATCGCCACAGCCAGCAGTCCCAGTGCCAGTGCCGCTGCCATTCGATTTTTATGGGTTTCAAAAAGCCAGCAGACCCCAACAAATGACCCCGTCCAATGCGAACCACTCTTCCTGCTGGCTCGCCCGCGATATGCAATCCAATAAAAAGCGCATGCGGCTGCCTACACAGCCAAAGCCCTGGCCATAAAAAATCGCTAAACGGCCATAATAAAGCTGGCGATGGCAATAAAAACTCAGATAGAGTGAATATTCTGTGCGGCACAAGCGAATGAGGTGTACTCTTTCCCCCTGACAGGTTGAACTACAGGAGTATGTAGAATATCCTAGATGATTTACCAAAACTTTGCTCAAACAGCATATTTGTATATTCTCCACTTGGGCTTTAGTGTTTTCAGAAGTTACAGTATATAATACGATCGTAGATTGTTATTCGCTGTAACAATAAACGACTTATACTAAAAAAAAAAGTGTTTGCTAAATGTTCCGGAAACATCTGAAATATGTGAAAAATCAAATCATATGTTTGAAAGCATAATTGAATAATGCGCTGAACAGACCGTTTTGAGTAGCTAAGAAACTTCTGGCGAAAGAGCGCATTCGATTGATTTTGTATCCTCTCGTTTTGTGCTGTTTGTTCCGCCTTTGGCTGGGAGATCCTTTCACGACTTTGCCGGCTCAAATTCACTTGTTGTATTCGTTGCCTCAAATTGAAACCTACGAACCCTGCAGAAGGATATAGCAGAGACAAAAACCCGGTATGCCCCCGGTATACTCCCGGTATGGCCATGTTGAAATTTAAAGCGTGGCATACTCCACATACTGAGCGCCTTCAGACACGTACGCGCTGAAAAGTTTCCTCCTGGTCTCCTCCATTGGATGGAGATCAAAAGGCATTAATGCGTTGGCTGGCGTTTCTGCTTGGGGAGGTGTGACTGAGAGGAGGCGGCTGAGAGGAGACTCTAGGGATGGGACTGTTTTGCACATTAGCGGTAACAATTTTAAGCTAATTTGGCATGTGAAACAGGTAGGAAGCGCACACCCGATGGTTTTTCACCGGTTTTCGGGGGAGCAAACGACACGCGCAATTATTTCTCGACCATTTTATTTGATTGTGTGTGTGTGTCTGTGTGTGTGTGTGTGTATTCCACTGTGTGTAACTGTGTGAGCATACGTGGCTGGCATTTATTTCGTTTGATCAAAGCCACGGCACACCAATCAAACCAATTGAATTGAGATCGATTTTTATATGTGAATATTTTTAAGTTTAGTTAAACGTTTACATGATGAGCTTATGTGGGTTAAAATACATACGTGTTAGGAAGGACATTGTATAAAGCTTAAAGCTAAAACAGTTTCTTCACTTCATGTGATTGGGCGACGACTGTGCTAATATTTCCTAGTGTCCCGAAGTATTTAAAGAACGCAACCTTAAGGTTGACCGATTCTTCCAGTCATAATTGCTAGTCCCCAAAGAGCAGCCAAAGAAATTATACCCAAAGACGCGATGCACGCCTCGACGTCCGCATAACCTTCTTTGCGCAATATGAAAAGGACATGCCCCACATTGCTGATGACATGCACCACATTGACTAACCTCATTCGGCGGACATTACATACCAATGTCCCCCGCGCCTGTTCATGTTTGCCACATTCCGTGGCAGGAGCCGTGTTGATCATTGTCGTGGCTTGGCCCGAATGCACAGTGCGCATTAATCAGAGAATCCGAGAAGGAATCTGCTTCATCTTCTGGCAGCAAATTAGTTAAAAGCCAAATGCAAATGCCGTAGTAGGGAAGCGGTGCGGTGCGGTGCTGGCAGGGAGGAGATATGTAGTTGACAAACTGACAGCTGACTTGCCTAATTAGAAGCCAAGTGAAATAAAAATATTACACATACGCCATGCATGCCATGTTTCACTTTTTAATTTACGCCCGGGCTGTGGCTATGGATGGAGCAGGGGTTGGGGCAGGGGCAGGGACAGCTATGGCGCTTGCTGGGAAGTGAGGCCCCAGCTCGACTCGACTCTTGGCTGCATTTCAATTGACATGGCGAACGGCAGCGGGGAAAAAATACTGTCGCTTGTTGCTGCCGCAGATGTTCTTGCTGCTGTTGTAATGCGCATTCGAAATGAGCACACGCATAAGAATTGGGCCACATTAATACACCCACACAAACACACGCACGAGTCGCGTGGTGGGGTGGTGGGGGGGAGGGCGAATGTTAATTTAGAGCCCCATCCAAAAACAGCAAAATGCAGATTCAAATGTGCATGCAAGAGCGCTGAGCCGAGCGCAGGCGACCATGCCAAACCGAGCCTGGGGAGCTGCCCGTCCAGAACCCGGGCCGCTCTACCAAACTCGAAACTAAAACTGCAAACCAAACCAACCACGAAAACCTGCCATGCAGGATACTAGATGCTGGATGCTGGATGCTCAATGTTGGATGCTGGCTCTGACAAAGCCCCACGCTCTCCCATCCAGCTGGAGGCCCCATCAGCATCATCGTCAGCCTCGTCAGCGTCATCATTACGGGCTGCGCTGCTGTAACTCTTTTCAAATAATAATTAACAATTTATTCCCCAAACAGAGCGCGCACTCCCACACCCCCACACATAGGGACACGCACATTGGAGTGTGTGAATGATGCTGTCAACGTTAGTCATATCATTAGAGGCAACGTGTTGCTGGCTTTTTGATGCTTTTCAGGGAGAGCTTGAGGGAAATCATGCCAATGATGCACTGCAAGAAAATCTCTATTAAACTTAAGCCTGGAACTGACCTAATTCACTGTAAAACTCAAACAGAAAGACAATCAAGGGAAGACCCATTAGTCCCGGCCCAAACAACTGTCTTTAACTCTCTTTGGCTGGCGGTTCGGTTCTGTGATTTTGTTAGGTGTAAAAAATATATTTACACTGGCTAGCCTGCCACACTCTGCTGCCACTGCTGTCTCTACGAGCACTCGGATTCCAGCAGTCATTTCTTTCGTGTTTGTTTTTTTTTATTCAGCTATCGTGGCTGACATTTTGTTTGTAGGCGCTCAAAAGTATGAAACTATATTTGTGTTTTTGCGGTTTCCCTTTGTATTTGTGCACTGCACACACCAACACACTGACAGACTGCCATTGAGTAGAGTCAAATGCATGTGCAGAACATTCCACATCATGTCAAGCGGAAGTGAGTGTCTTTCATTTTTGTTTCCCCTCAGCCAGCGCACTCAGCCCCAGCCTCCATGGATCCCTCTTGCTCCCCATCCATCCCTGGCCCTTTCTCTAGCCCTCCATGTTTGTTCTTTATTCCGCCGCTCTCATGGCTGGGACGCTTACTGTTAATTAAAAATGGGCGCCAAGGAGCAGGCAAGGCAAGGCAGAGTCACAGGCAGAGTGCGAGCGTAAGTGTGAGTGCGATGTGTGGGGGCGCACAGGGCATCGCTGGGCTGGCAGCACCAGAAGCGCCAGATGAACGCATCGTATGAGTATTTTAATTAGTTTGCATAATTATGTTCGCTCCCTGGCCCATGCCCTCACACGCCACCGCCCACCTATAGACCCTTGGTGGCCACAACACAAAGTTACAAATTCCTTTTCATTCTTTTCATTTCCTGCCGCCAGAGGAGCAGCCTAGCCCCCCTCTCCAGATTCGTTTTATGAAGGTTTAACAACTTTTTGATACAAATTTGGCTGCCTTCCTTCTCGCCTGCACGCCTCCCTGCAGGCCAGCGAGTTTGAGTTGATTTTTGAGTCCAAGGACACTGCATTGTGCGCCACAGATTTTTAGTAGCTGTGCTGCAAAAACCTCGACTTTTATTGGTAACTTTCTTGGGGTTTGCTACATAATTTCGTACGCTTCTGTCACTCAATTACAGCCATTTTAGGGATTTCTTCCTTTGTTTTCAGTGTCAACGAGATCCACTTAGGTTTTTGAAAATTTTATAAAATGTTTTATGGGTGTTCAGAGTGAGGACGGCGCTGGCGGGGCAACAGCTCTGTGGGCATTCCAGCCACACCACTGTTAGCAATCTAGCTACGCAAGCTGTTGCCCCCGCTCTCACGCTTAGGAGCGTTTTTCCCCCGCTGACGCGCTCCCGCCCACGCTCACGCACCCGCTCCCGTTGCCGAAAACGGCCGGCTTTTGCACGCGATCTCTTAAATATATATATATAGTGAATAAACTCCCTGTAATATACCGAATAAAACCCTACTTTGACGAACTTGGACTTGTCCTGTCTTTTCTTGGGAAGTGATTGTTGGAACCCCCTTGAGACGCCTCTTCGCTCAAACAATGGGTATACTATTAAAATTCAAGTGTGGGGATATCCAACCAGATATATGTATGTGCAACCTATTTAATGTCTCGTGCTAAGTATTACACAGTTTTATTAGTGAACATTTTATTTTTAATATATGTATATTGCACTGGCACTGAAGATACTAGCAGTGACATTCCTACAACAATACAAGAGCCTGTAATTAGGTGGACTAATTTGGCAGGGGATCGAGGCTGGTGCCTAAAAGAAATAATATACAACAGAATATAGTACCAATCAACATGTGTGGTGGTCCTCTCACACTTCTCTTTTATTAGTTCCCAAGGAGCCATCAAATCTTAAAGTAATTCATCTAACTCACTCATTCAACCATTAGGTGTGGTTCCGCTCATTGACTACCCGATCCGAATACAATAATGGATAAAGACTACACACTGGATTGGGTACTAACATGTCTGCTCCCCGCTTATGAAACTAAAAGAGCATACAAAACTGATTGATGATTTCTGGAGCGAATACTGGAAGAACCATTCAACACTGAAAAAGCTCATCTTCATGAAGATATCTGCTAAAAATTATCCGTTGAAAATATAATATATATTTTGATACTTCTGCATATCCAATCTGCTGGAAAGCCGCATAGGAAATCAATTCAGACTTATACAAAGAAATATGTAGATCCATTTGCATCCATTTAATGATATGCAGATTTGTAGTACATCTAATGGCATGCTAAAAGAATATAAGAACAGATGTGGACATGTATCTGCTTCTGTCGTGATAAGGTAACAACTATACTCGTATATTGATGTTTACATTTGCGAATTAAGTATGTGTTTTTGTGTATGTTTCAGTATGATCCATGTACTGTATCAGAAAGGTTCGAAGACACTCGCAGGCGTGGCGTAGCGCATAGTCCAGTAGCGGGCATTTTGATCGTAATGCTCGCGGTTCGACTTGTACAATTGGGCCATTTCCAAGTCCATGGGGTCGTCAGGATTGGCGTCTGACATCAGCGACATGATGGATAGGAGAAGTTTTTCCACCGTCAGGACAGGCGACCAATTATCCGCCAGAATGTCCATGCAAATGCTGCCGAAAGTGGAAACGTTGCAGTGGTAAATTTTAGTTCTAAATGCCACTTCAGGTGGAACATGCGGATATTCCTCTGGGAAAAAGAAATCTAGTTCGAACTGCCCTCCCTCGTAGGGCGTGCCGGTAGGTCCGAGAATGGTGGCCAACCAGTGCTTAATATCGTCCTCTACTATTTCCACCTGGCACCCATCTGTTGGATTTGCCGTTATTTCGGCCATCTCGCGGCAGAGACGCCAAACTGCGGGGCTACGTCGCTGGCCTTGTTCTTGGTCTTGGTCCTGGTCCCGGCCCCGGTTCAGCCTCTGTCCTCCGTTCTCTTGGTGCGCGACGGACACAGATGTTGTTCGGGCACTTCTCCGACTACTGGGTCCAACGACATTTGGAGCTTCAGATGGTTCATCGCCGACTGTAGGCTCTCGTTGCAGTGATCGACGAATGCCGGAGACAGCGCGCCGTGGAGAATCAGCGCGCCGTGGAGAATCAGCGCGCCGTGGAGCATCAGCGGCATAGGGAGAGGCAGCAACTCGCAGATTCCTTATGCGAGTGCTGCGTCGTAGAGACATGATCTGGAAAGACTCAAAGAAACTAAAAATACTTTCACTGGGGAAAGCAACATTGCTTACCAAAGTTTTTCCAGTAAAAATTGCAGAAAATTATTTTTTTTTTGTTCAGGTCGTTCTGTGCTGTGTGAAAAGTAAAGTTAAAATGATGACAGGAACTAAATTTTGACAGCGCTGCTTCCAGCTCAACTGGAAAGCCAACTGGACGGAATTCTCCAAAAGGCTATCTCTATATGTGCAGTTAGTCAGTTACTCGTAGAAAAGTCAGTCTGCGTCTGAAATTAGTCTCATATTTTAAATTTGTTGTTGCATTTTAGGAAGCAGCATTCATTTTGTTGTTATATGTAATTCAACAAAAGTGTAAAATGCAAATTAATGTTCGGATAAGCTTTCGACAACTCCTGCAAGTGATTAATTAAGTCTCTTATCGCCAACCATCTTGGCTGTACTTTATTAAAGCTTCGTAGAGTTTTTCAGCAGTGGAAAGACAATTTAATTTGCCATTAATTCACCTTCCCATATTGCCTGATTTCCCCTCATAGATAAACAAATAAATGAAGCACTCAGTTCTCAGTAATTTTATATACAAATAATTATATAGATTTTTCCTGCACTGCGAGCTAACAGAAAAATAATGAATAGGGGAGTTTCTGTAATCGGCCTTGTGGCATATTTAATAATTTCAATGGCCCGCACATTTGATATAGGAAATCTGTATAATGCATGGGCTTATTCATAAAAACATATGCCCGCCCTCGGTTTACACATGAACTGTCAAAGCAGAGACAAAAAAACCAAAATTAAAATGGCAAAATATAAAACAATTGACAGAAAACTATAAAATTATTATAAACAGTCCGGAACAAAGCTACAAAAGTAAGAAATTATATTAAAAACCATACAAACATTTGCAGTAACAAAATACAAAACGAAAAAAAAATAGTCTGAACATTTTAGCAATTAACATTCGCCAACAGATTACCCGATAAAGCGAGCATAAATAATGCAGCCTCTGTCTGCAGGCGGAACAGCACGATTTGGGAGGCATGAACTGTGTGTGGGTGCCACATAATTAATAGAGCATAAAGAATGACAACAAAATGCCTTTGACAAATTATTCAAATTGCGGCTAAAATATTCGAAAAAAGAATGCCAAGCGAAATCGGAAATGGCAAAGAATATTATAAAATGGGTGAAAAAATAATATTTACTTAAATCAGTGGAAACGGGAGCGAGTATCCGCCTATCTCAATCAATCGATAATTTATCAAATTTCAGAATTGATTGCCACTTCAGTTAGATGTTGCCCTCTGCAAAAAGTCATGTATTGTAACCTTTTATTGATGATCTAACATTCAAGCTATATACATCTGTAGTTAAATTTAATATTAAATTGTCAGTTGTCAGATCTGTTCCTTAGATGTGGATCTGGAACATCGAATTATTCCTTTCATGAGTTCAATATACTCGTATATCTGCTACTAATTCCCTTTCTCTTCAATGCTAATTAGTATTTTCCCATAGAAGGCTCAGCAGAATTCCTAATTTTTGTGGCCTACAGGGCGAGTAGGATTTTGTGGTGGAGCCCAGTGTGGGGAAGTATTATCCAAACACCAAATCCTTTTGGGGGCACTACGAGTTGTGCTCACCCCAAATGCTGAGATCTCATTCTGACCAACCTTCATAACTAACTGGAAGTGGAATGGAAGTCAAGTAGAATACGGTCATAGGCAAGCAATCGCCAATCTAAAGAACAATAAGCCAACAGAACAACAAAACAAACAGTTTTGGCGAATCGTCACCAAGAGTGCCAGCCGTGGTGAAGAATTTTTTGGATCGCTCCAATTGATTGAAAGTTGACAAATTTATGGCAGAAGCTCAAACACCTTGGCAACATAAGAGAACTCGTTTCCCAATAGTCATATAGTCAAAATTGAACAACTCACAAGATAAATGAAGTGTCGAGAATAGAAAACATAAAAAACGAGAACAACTTTACCACAAAACAATTTCGTTTTTTCTTATTTTTTGAGTGTTGACAATATCAAATTCTATTGTCATTGCTTTGGGTAGTCGGGTGGGTGGACGGAGAAGATGGGGGAGATGCGTGCTTGACACTGAACTAGTCAGCCTCTTTGATCTTGATGACATCGACATCGACAGGGATGTGGATGTGGATGAGGATGAGGATGAGGATGTCGCTTTCGATGATGATGACATTGCGCAATTTCTCACCAGCAATTTGAACATCATCAATTTTTTGTTGTGCGTCCTTTTGTTGAGAATTGTTTTTGTTGCCTAAGAGCCTGAGTTGCAATTTGCCAACCTTGTATCGAAAATAAAAAAGAAAAGACAAGAAGTGGATGCATGGGAGCATCAAATATGTGTGACTCTGCGGAAAAATAGGATTGGAAACAAATTGAAGAAAATGTGTCGAAAATTGTGTCGCTTTATATTGTATTCAAATGGGATCACAATTTATGAGTGGCTGAGTTGATTAGTTCACTTATCATATGTGTATTGAAGATCAAGTGTGATTCATTGTTATTATTATATATAGCTAATGAAAAATGAAATAAAAATATATAAAACTAAAAAGAATGTGGTGCATGTTTTCGTATCGCATATACATACATACTAAGCAGTTTCCTTTGATAGTTATCAGCTGGCGTATTACGAGTATGTGCGCCACCAGCAAAGCAACTTGCCACACGCATAAAAGTGTGCAACATATTTGCAGTTTGTTGCAAAAGGCAGCCCATGATAACGATGAAGACGTCGACGTTTGTGTTGAGTTACGCTGCGCTCTTCTGCGTTGAGTGAATCAAGCAAGATGCTGATGAAGAAGAAGCGGACCAAGTACTCGTACTTGTAGAACGGGCCACGGGAGGAGGTGGAAAAGTTTCCAGTTTCCAGTTTCGCGAGTTTCACTTTCGTGCCCAAGTGATTTGTGTGAAGGTGTGTGTTCGCTTGAGGTGCACATAACAGTTAAGTAATGTCTTAAAACTTTAACCATGAACAAGGTAAAAGCATCCGCGAACCAAACTGGCCCAATCCCTATCCTCCCACCCACACACACACACGCACACACACACAACAAATGTGCAAATTATGCAGCCTCTGGGAAAGTGCTTCGATGGGTGGGCCTGGCCTAAGCTACTTTTACCACAAACTTTATTAGTTGGCCTCACCTTTTTGGCTTTGCTTTATACCTTTGGCACAGCCATCACCCACTACCATACCAAAAAGTTACCCGACTCTACCCCGCTTAGCGGGCCAAAGTTTAATCAATTTTCTAGCGTGGCCGCAGTGCAATTTAAATATTTTATACTCTGCATATAGTCGATGAAAATTAAACGACGAACAGCCTTTTTTGTGCCTTCAACTTGTAATTAGCCAACTAAGTACTTAATTTTTGTCGTCTTTTCTTTTTCGCTTTGAATGGAAAATTTCCTCTAGAAAAAATATTTCAATACCGAAAAACTGAACTTTTATTTAAGCATTGGCCTTACGAAAGTTTACAGACAATAGACGAAAAGTTGTTCATTTTTCCGGGTCCATTAAAGAGGAAGGAATGGAATGGCGGTGGATGGGCAAGGAAATGAAATACTTGTCTATGCGGTAGAAGGATGTACGGTTTCTTGCATTGAAAATATATGTATTCAACAGAAGATGAAATAAATTGACAAATACTTTTTAAAAACTTTTGGATAAACATTATCTTGTGATTTATTGTTTTTATCAGATACTAGAAAACCCGCACGCTTTGTTGCTTACTAAATGAATGTAATGTTTAGGAATTCATCGAAATTAAAGAAAGATAGTCAAAAGCAACAAATATACTTACACAATTTTGCAATTTTTTCAGAAAACAATTTTTCAGACGAAAAGGTACAAAAACAAAATCTATCATAAAATGTTCCGTTCTAAAGAACGACACAAAATGAAATGAAGAAAGCGTTCAAACACAGCTTTTTGGCACAAATTTGAGTTTTTTTTTCTACCAATTAAAAATTTTAAAAATTTTGACTTATAAAAACAATCCGACATTCTCTGGCTGTCATTTAAAAACACAGCACGCAATTTGGTGCACTCGTTGCGGAGATAGCCCCTTACACACACCTTTTTTCTACAAATTATTGTATAGCTGATGGGGAATACATTTTATTTTTATTTTATTACAATGCTTCATTGTCGTTATTAATTTGTATAGCGTTGGTATAGTTAAAAATTTTGCATATGCACTAGATATAGTGCAGAAACTACACTTATTGACCTGTACGAATCCCCTTGCTATTGGTAGAATTAAATTTTATATCAGAGCGTACTGTTTCCCAATCGTTTAGAGCTTCATTAAAAGTAAGTTTATGAAACAAAAACGTTTTATAGTAATATTGGGTGTAAGAAAAGGCACGAACAATATGAAGGAAAAATCTGCACAGGAAATGTGATACTTACTTTATTTACGGTTGGATGAAGGTGCGACCACAGATCATTTTCATTCACATTACTTTGTCATTTGTCACTTGCCGCGAAATGTAAGCCATGTAAAAATACGAAAATTGTTCAAGTAGCTGGCCTTCCTTTTCCAAGGAGCTATTCCCCTTGGTGGTCCCTTTTCGCGGCGCACACAAGACGAAAGAAAGTCGCAAAATGGAAAAAGGAAACAACTTTTGTTATAAAGCGTGTCCTGTGGCAAATTCCTTTTTGCCTTCCACTCCCAGAGATA